GAAGTTTTCTCATGCATTTGTTCTCAAATGCTTGGAACCTTCTCTCTGTTTCTGCTAACAGTGTCCACATTGCACATCCATATAGGAAAATGGAGACTACCAGTGATTTGTACAGTCTGTATTTGTTTGAATTCTGATTTTGCTCTTTCATATTCTTGTCATTTTAAGTTACATAGGAGTAGTTTGTCACCCTGGTTTCATGCTTTTGTAATCATCAGATAAACTAGTCCATTTTTTCAAAAGTGGATCTGTTTATTCTTATTTGTGTTTGATTATTTGTGTGTGGTGGAGGGGTAACTTCTGTGTTTGTTTGGGATGACACTGCCACATACATAGATGCACATACATACAGGTTACAAACACACCCATATAAATAATCTGAGGTTAGGCACAGTTATATATCCATGCATTCAAGCACACACACATATATATATATATGCAACTGTCATCCTATTTCGGTGTCAAAACTGTAGCATTACATATATAACAATGTTCTCTTAACAAAGAACTGGTGGGGGTATTCTTGATGTTTTTCAAATCAGCTGTCTGCACTGTCAGACATGCTCACATTCACTCATACATACACACACATATATGTAGACACATACTGACACTCATTGATCTGGTTCCAGTATCACCGATTCAGCAAACTTGCCCACTTGAAACATGTCTCATGGCAATTCAAATATATACATTGGTTACATTTTCACAACATTATCCCAACAATTAACTTGCCATTTATCCAATAATAGTTTAAATCACATATCACCAATCTACATTACAGCATAAAGAAATAGAAGAAATCCTTATAAACACAAAAATATTATACCAGAGATATAAAAAATAATGACCTAACAATAAAAAAACTGTACATCAGTAAAATTTCATTCAATTTAAGAACAAAGATTTTTCACAATTTAAAAACTATATCAACACAAGTCACTGCCATGTGAAGAAAATACTTGAGAATCCTGATATGACAGACACCATCACATAATACCATGATACTTCAAAACCAAAGAAATACAATGCATAAAGATAGACATAACCTTAACAGACAAAAATTCTTTAGAAGGAATCTAAATAAATGAAAATGCTCAATATCACATTGGAAATATTATATCCATATTCCCCCCCACATGAATCAGAAAATTGTCTGAACTATAGTATATTAATTTTTAAAAAATAATAAAGAATTTTAATTCATATATCATTTTAAATGTTATTTCTAGTAAAATTCTGTCAGATTGAGGAATAAAATCCATTACCTTAGAATATAATAGCTGGCCACTTGTATTCAAGGATACCTGTCTACTAGGGTGGCTAGCCAATCCCTTTTGCAGGTACTTGTTCAGGCATATTTTTGTGCTTGCTCAACACCCACAGAGCCCACCTGTGGTTTATACTGCAACAATGCTGAGCAGACCTTAGTTACAGTTTCTGGGAGAGAGCATGTTATCTAGTGTGATCAACAATTTGAACAAGGCCAGCACGCTCAAGCTCTCAGCCACAATGACTTGTGGCTTTGTGCTAGCACAACTATCGACAGCTCTCAGGAGTTGCATCTACCCAATTTCACTCACAAGGCTTGGGTCAATCTGTGGTGTGGTTTTCAGGTACTTTCTAAAAGGTGCTGCACACTGGGATCAACCTAAATCCAGTTCAATAATACCAGGAAGTTGCCTTCTCCACAAATCATCCTTGGTGAGATTTGAACCTGGGTCTCATAGTCAATATATATATATATATATATATATGCATGCACACACACACACTCTCTCTCTCTCTCTCTCTCTCTCTCTCTCTCTCTCTCTCAGATGGAGTATATCTGTAGAAGAGACAAAATGAATAAAAAGACATTTGTAAAACTATACTTATTTTAGCTGACATGTTTTGTCACTTGGACGTTATCAAGGCAAATGTGATGGTTTTATTTGTAACAAGTATATATTTGACAGTTACACAAAAATTTAGAAATTTTAAGTGTCAAATATATACTTGTTGCAAAATAAAAAAAATAAAAAAAATCACATCTGCCTTGATAAAGTCTGACTGACGAAATGGGTCAGATAAAATAAGTATATTTTTCCAATTATCTTTTCATTCATATATATATATATATATATATATATATATATATCTCCATTACCATCCACTACAATTTAACGTCTGTGCTGCCATTGACTGCCACTCTACGATACTCATTTATGAAAATAATTTCTTAATCTTTGCTTAGTTTAAATTTAACATTGGTCATATTCAATTGGTTGATCTGAGTAAAGCCCACAAACCTTACAATCCCCCTTTTAAAAAGAGGCTGTATTATGCTTTTAAATCTAAATAAAACATTCACCTTCCAGTAATTTACAATCACCTGATGAGATGCATTGATATGCATCGAAACATGATTCCATAGCAATTTTGACATGTTTTCAATCTAATATCCTAAAATAAATAATATTGCTCTACTTTGTATTAAGCCATCTTTTAAATTAAATGTTGTGAACATTGGAATTGTACTCTATTTGTTTTCATCTTACCTGGATATATATATATATATATACATTCTTTTTATAGATACAAATATTTAAGTAATGCTCTGTTTTATAACAAACAGTATTAAACAATATTTACTGGCCTGAATGTCTGAGAAATTTTCATAGAAAATATTCAGTTCCGTATCAGATACAGGTTTGATTCCTGTTGGAGGACAAATATTTTCTATGAAAATTTCTCGGACATTCAAGCCGGTAAATGTTATTAATACCGTTTATTATAAACAGAGCATTTACTTAAATATTTGTATCTATAAAAAGAATGTATAAACATAAAAATGTCTTAAAATAATTGTCGGACTTTGTCCATTTCTATATATATATATATATATATATATATATATATATATATAGCTGCTATCCTTGTTTATTTTTATTTTCTTTAGCGAGATTAATAACAACTGGCCTAAATCAAGAAGTCCTACTAAAGACTAATTATACTACCTGGCAGGAATAAAACCAGTATCCCTTTTTTCATCAGGGAAACTGCTTCAATAAGTGAAATGTACTACGAGTTTTGGCCATGGGTGACCATCTTGATATAGAAAGACTTGAATCGGTGATTTAAAGAATTTGTATCTCTCATTGGGAATTCTGTGAGCTGCAGTTTTGTACCTGAAATGTAAATTCATTTCTGATGGGATTTATTTTAATCCAACATTATTTCTTATTACACATGCTTGAGCTTCTCTTTTCTTAACCAGTGGAATTAATAACAACCAGGTTTGTTTTTTTTTCTTATTAATTTTACTATTTAAGAAAACATGGGTAGCAATTCAAACATGAGTATCCACTAAAAGTAATGTGTATCATAAGAATATATATAAATGGATATTGAAGTCCACACCCAATGGCAGCAGTCTGTTTCATGCAATCAATGGCCTGACAATTACATACAAGCATGAAACAAGACTGGCCACACTGAGTGTTGACTTCAATGTTCACTTATATACTTCTGTTATGCTCTATCCCTGATATTGAGCACTTTAACCTATAAATATAGCATACCTTAATACAATTTAATATATATATATATATATATATACACACACACACACATTTTAAAAATCAGGAGGTCATTTGAAACTGCTACATTGGTTTCAATCTTATGGTATCCTCAGGTGATTTTTATCAAATGACCACCTAACCCTTTTTTTAAAACAAACTAATGAATGCTACAATATTATTTCAAAAAATAAACAAACAAATGCTCAACGTTGAGTGTAATAGAAAAGATGGAGGCAGAAGATGTGAAGAAGGAAGAAGAAAATTAGGGAAGAGAAGAAAAGCAAAGGTATTGCAAATGTATTGGTTGGGTGTTAAATTATTACTTCTTTTTTTTTTTTTATCAAGCCTCATATGAGAACTTAAGAAAAGTTTTCTGATATGTAAGCAAGGACTTAAGACTTCAGATTCCTGGTTTTAAAGGTTTTTTTGGGGGGATCCAGAAATGTCATAATCACTAATTTTTCTTGTTGGCAGAGGTTGCAAATATTTCTGATTGTTGTACGGTATTGCCATTTTTTAAAAAGTTTCCACCTTATAAACAGATCCCTTTTGTTTTTTCTTTTAAATTCCACACATGGTTAGCTAGTTTGGTAGAGTACCTAAGATTTGCTAGTTTAAAGGATGACCTATGGTTGTACCATCTATGTTTCCTGGTCTGATTCAAATCTGACCATTAACCTTATATATTTCTGTAAAATCTATGAGCATTTCATGACATACTATTTTTAACATATGGCAAAAGGCAAAGAATGCTTATGATTAGAAGTAGGTAGGTCAGCATATTTCTTTAGAAATAGCAATTCAAATTTAAGCAACTGGGAATTCAGATAGGCTGGAACAAAGAACACCTAACATTTGTAATTTACAATGTTTTCTTGATCTCAAAAACATTTTATTTGTATTATATTCACTGGCTGACCTCATCTTTCTGATATTCAAATTGAAATACTTATTGGGAAAGATATTTAAATAATCCCTAACCTCTATTGAGGAACAAAAAACTTGCATAGAGAGTGAGTTAAGTGAGTACACAGAAATAAAAAGAGGAGTACAACATGTCTGTATTTTCTCATCAGATTTATTTAACTTGTACAGTAAGCAGATTCTAAGAAGATTAAGAGACATACTCTGGTTTATTCTAGGTATACATAACCTTAACCACATACACTACCCAGATGAAATGGGTGTTGATCACAGTCAAAGAGAAAATTGAAACCTCTATTAGACAAGGTAGACTTTGACGATACAAAGAAGACTTAGAGAATTTAAACTCACAAGACATAACAGAAGCAGACAAAAGCAATGAGAAATGTACTTGACAAGTTTGAGGAAACTAATAAAGGATTGGTACTATGAAGAGAAGGTGTAAATGTACATGAATTGCTGAAAGAAATAAAAGACCTAACTAGATCACAGGCATAGAGAGAGAGAGAAAAGCTATATATATATATATATAGAGAGAGAGAGAGAGAGAGGGAGAAAAAGATATATATATAGAGAGAGAGAAAAAAAGAGAGAAAGAGATAGAGAGACAAAGAGATAGAGAGACAAAGAGATAGAGAGACAAAGAAAGAGAAAGAGAAAGAGAGAGAGAGAGAGAGAAAGAAAAAAGAAAGAGAGAAAGAAAGAGAGAGAGAAAAAAAGAGAGAGAGAAAAAGAGAGAGAGAAAAAAAGAGAGAGAGAAAAAGAAAGAGAGAGAGAAAAAGAAAGAGAGAGAGAAAAAGAGATATAGAGTTGGAGTGAGATATGGATATATATAGAGAGAGTGTTAAAGAGAGAGAGTTTTAGAGAGAGAGTGTGTGTTAGAGAGAGTGTTACTTAGAGAGTGTTAGAGAGAGAGAGTGTGTGTGTGTGTGTGTGTGTGTGTGTGTGTGTGTGTGTGTGTGTGAGAGAGAGAGAGAGAGAGAGAGAGAGAGTGTGTGTGAGAGTGTGTGTGAGAGAGAGAGAGAGAGTGTTAGAGAGAGAGAGAGAGTGTGTTAGAGAGAGAGAGAGAGTGTGTTAGAGAGAGAGAGAGAGTGTGTTAGAGAGAGAGAGAGAGTGTGTTAGAGAGAGAGAGACATGACTGGTCACATCTTGAAGAGATATGTCCTGCAGAGATCATGAGTGACAAACATGATTGGCCATATCCTGAAGGGAACTGGCTGTCAGAGAGAGACAGAGAGGGCTGACACTGGCCACATCCTGAACAGATATAAGAGAGAGAGAGACATTACACTAGTCACATTATTAAATAATTCAAGACTTTCTTATGGATTTCATAACTGGCACCAGACTTGCTCAGAAATATCTAAACTCTCAGCTGTGTACAACTGTTTTCTCAGATCAATGATTAAAAATGGCTTTGAGCAAATGAAACTTGTAGGTCTTAGCGAGGTCCACACTTCTTTGAATCTTGTGAACTAGCATTACAGAATCAAACAAAGAACTGTACCAATTAGTAGAAGCCACATCACCTGAAGACTTTCAACAACAGTAACAACTAAAATGGATAGCACACATAACTGGAAGAGAAAATTATGACATAATCAAAATGTTGATTATTAAATGTTGACATTCCACACTACTTCAAACAAAAGGTTAGGAAGGAAACTCCCATCAATACTTGAAAGTACAATAACAGCTACAGGACTTTTGAAATCTATTTTTCTAGAAAAAAAAAATTGTTTTAAAAGGGAAAGATTTTATAAATTTCAACTGAAAGTAATACTACATTATTGGTCAGTTAATGTCAAATGTTTCCTTATAAGGAAACAGCTGATATAACCATTAACATTTATGCCACAAGTAACTAAATATATATTATGAAATTGTTTGGTTTAATTAATTCAATTTTTATGCCTTTATCAACCCTTTATAGATTATTTAAAGCCAAAACATTTTAGATTGTATCAGTAAATATTTCTTTTGTGGGGAGAATACATACTGCATTAACGATTTCATTTGAGAATAGCAAGGTTTTTTTTTCCAGATACAACTACTATTTAACACACAGCTGGGGAGATGAGTTGTTATCAGATTTTTCTCAAGAGTATTTGCATGTCAGTAAATGTAATGAACCCAACCAGAATTCAAACTCTGCTCTCCAATTTCTCATTCCAAGTTGCTATCCATTACATCACCTGCACCCCAACAATGTTGTTGAGAAAGCATCTGCCAAACCAATGGTTCACTTGGGTCAAAGATGCAATCCTTAAAATTACTGTGCCAAGTTAGTACTTTCAATTCAATTTTTGCATAAACAATTTTTTAATATCCATAACCATGTTTATATTAATACAAGACCTGGCCTAACCCCAATTTTTTTAGATGCAATATATTTTTATATTAATGAAATCCAGAGACTTTCAATGAAAAACTCTTTAGAATCAATGCATCTTAAAGTTTTTAGGAACTTTTTACTGAACTTTAATTTTCTTTTTAACCAAAACAATGACTGCTTCATACATTAATGTTCATCCTGGGTAAGATGTTAAACTACATCCTCGTCCTGGGTAAGACGATAAACTATGTCTAGCAGCAAGGACTCTGATCAGGAGGTTTTGAGAAGCATGGAACCACCTCTTAATTGCTGGTGTTCCCAGGTCCACCCTGACCCGGGATGGTAGCACCTGTTAGGGTCCCAGCTATGGGCAAATAGTTAACTATTACCAGCAATACTTTTTTGAAGAAAATTATCACCAGCAATACAATTTTGAAGGAAAAATATTACCAGAAACAGATTTTTGACAAAGCAAAATATTACCAGCAATAAAAAATTTTGTCAGCATCAAATAACCGATTGAGGTTGATATGCCGTAAAACAAAATAAACCAAACCAAAACCTACATTAATGTACTATATCTGATGGCATACACTTCCCACCTCCCTCAAGTACTTCAACCTCATTATAATATTAGACTTAGTACAAGTAGCTCTTAGCATCTGGGTCGACATTAGCCTATCAGATACTTCAGCTTCACATATAAGACACAGGAGATATTTTGGTCATATCTAGAGTTTTATAGGTTAGTAAATATGGTATTTATTGTTCCAGTGTTGTGTCTATATTTTACATACAAGTCAGTTCTAATTGATATGATAATTATCTATGTTTTATTGCATTAGCATAAAATGCCTTACAATGCTCTTGTTGCTTTAACATTAGGCAAAGCTAGGTTGATAGGAATCACACTCAACCAGACAGCATTTGTTTTTTAAAGTCATGTAACGGAAATCAGAGAATCTTAGTGTTCTTTTATGATTCGAGATGATCAGCTGAGGTTACTAGTAAAATATAACCCTTGCTGAACTGTCCACGAAATGACCCAAGAATAGCCAATTCTTGAAGGCACATAAAATTTATAAAGAATTTGACAAACAGTTTTCAGTTTCAAGACAAATATTTTGAGTTGTCTTTATTTTCATCAAAACTTGGCATCGATTTCACTTTGAAGGGAATGGTCAGAAATTAGAAAGCAAACTTATTTTCTGATGTTCTAAGTTTTATGGTTCCATATTTTTCAGCCTTATTTCATAAAATGTTATCAGTATATTCTTCAACCTTACTTTAATATATTCACATCAGTGTGTGCAGGTGGTGTAATGGATAACAGCATGGAATGAGAAATTGGAGAGCAGAGTTCAATTTCCAGTAGAGTTCATTACATTCACTTATGCACAAATACCCTTAGGAAAGGTATGAATCTATTGCTTCATGAATCTCCTTGGCCAGGAGTTAAATAAAACGGCTGGCTGAGCTCTTCAGCTTTAGGTGGCAACCAATTTAGGAGAAGGACAACTGGCAAAGCACATACTATGCAGCTAAAGAGTTCAACATGACTATGATCCCAATTGTAGTTGGCAATCTCATAATTTAGTGTGTGGGTGCAGAAAGGAGAATCATGGAGCCAATTGCAAATACCTGCTTGCATTTATTTTGTATCTCACAAATACTCTTGGGAAAGGCAGGATTCTCTGGGATCTTTAGCCTTGGTGACAGTCAATCAAGGGGATTGTCTTTGTATGCAATTTGATTTGTTTTTTATGTGGATAATGCTTTTAGCAATATATCTTACTAATTAACCCATAGCTGGGGGAAGAGGAGGGAGATTCATACCTTTCCCAAAGGCATTTGCATGCAAGTGAATGTAATGAACTCAACGGGAACTGGAACATGGCTCTCCAACTAAAAATTCCAGCCTTTATCCATTACACCTTATGAACATCCAAGAAAATAGCACCTGGTATTCACAAGTGGTCACCTATCTAAGTACTGACCAGGCTCAAGATATTAAATAAAAAAAATGTGTGGAGAGTCACGATCACCTATATCCTGAAAGAACAAGGTAAACACACACAAAAGGGATATACTAACAGAAAAGCATTGATGACTTTAAAAAAATATCCAGATGTAATGGATATTTAAAATTTTCGGCAGCTGTTCTACCATAATCATATTGACACTATAGAATATTCAAATCTTCTTCAATTTTAAAAATCCAGAAGGAGTGAAGCATTTGTTTCATTAAAGATCTCAGAGCAGTGATTTGTCATTGTTACTGATCTGCACTGATGGGCAGATGTCAAATCAGATTCCAAGGTCACTTGTTAACAATGACAAGTGAAGTCTTCATTATAACATCAATATACAATGAATTCAATCCTTCTTCCATTATCATGAGGCTGTCAGATGACATTCTCCTATAAATGATGTGGAAGATTTTGTGTGGGTGTTACAGTTCAATTTTATTCAATCAATGAATTCAATTAAAATTGCCAATCTTCCTGTCTTTGGGATATTCTCTTCAGAATGCTTAGTCCCAAAGTTAAAAAAAAACAAACAAAAAAAAAAAAAAAGGAAAAAAGAAAGAACAATATGGTTCCATTAAGTTTTTATACTCTCTTCCAATACATGCAAAATGTAATTATAAGATTGACCCAAGAGTCACACTGCCAGCGTGGCTAAGTTTAGTCTTGTTGAAGTTCTGAGTTTTGTCTATGATTTATTTGCTAGAACTAAAAATAGAATTCTCTCATAGTTTTAATTAAAGAAAGAACAGACTTTCAAAACTTTTTGACAATTCACCTCAGAATTTGTCTTGATATCCTTTAAAATGCATAATGCTTTAAAATATATTTATTATGCAATTATTATAAATAAAATTATTGATAAAATCAAAAGAAAAATCAGCAATATTAATAGTCCTTACCTGGTGGCTCAGATTTAGTCACTTTCCCACCACTATAATATCGCCCGTCTTTTCTATAAATACTTTCATGGTAATTGTCCAGATGAGCTCTTTGCAAAGGTACCTAGATGTTTAAAAATTTAAGCGCAGTACTAGACTGGCATCAAGATCTCATTAATTTATGATTGAGCTGACTAGATGTAACCATAAATTCTATGCTAGCAGCTTCTTTTCTCGTACTTCTAGTTTGTGGAATTCCCTTTTGGCTGCATCCTTTCCAGCCAACTTTAATTTTCAAAAATGTAAATGCAATGTCAAGCGCTATATACTGTCCTCTTAATTACTCTTTTCTCTTCCTGCTCATATTAACCACTTGTGTCTTAGTGGCCTTGCATGGGGTGAAACAGACTAAAAAAAATATTTATATATATTATTAAAATTATAAACATATATAGGGTGTGATGGGTAAATTATTGCTATTTTACAGTTATAATTTCACACGTATATTGTTTTTGATTTTGTCAACTGCACATTATATTTAGGGTCAGTTGGGCACTGTCTGTGAGAAAAAGAGCAACGTGACACAATTCACTCCACCAGAAATTTGGAAATGGCATGCTGTACTTCTTGGCATTCATGCTGGAAGCTCTAATACAAACATTTCAAAGTGTTTGGGTACCAATCTGAGGACAGTGCAGAGGATTTGAAAAGAGTTAGAGGCAACTTAGAAAACTCACACTGATAAGAAAAGAACTCCTGAATTTGGTGTTGAGGGCTTCAGAATCAAAACGGAGGCCTACATCAAGTGCCTTGAGGAGGTAGTGGTTCTCTGGGCCAAGAGGGTGGCTGTTGGAAGACCCTGTGTCTGGCAACAGGACTCTGCACCATGCCACACAAGCAGGAAAACCCAGTCATGGCTGTCAGACAATTTCCGTGACCACATCACCCCTTACATCTGACCACATAACTCCCCAGACTGCAAGCCCCTTTTAGGCCACTGAGGTAAGTCTCTGCTATCATGTAGCGGAGACTTACCTCAGTGGCCCAATAGGGCAGAGTTACATGTATGTTTTACAATGGAGTATGGAGATGGTGAATTAGTGAGGTTCAGACTGAAGGTGAATTGGGCAGCACTTCATGTGGACGGAAGTGATTGTGTTGCCTGTAGCCATTTTTATTGGCTGGTCCTGGGTGCTCATTGACTGAGCAATAAAAGCATGGTACGCTCGTTCAAAGGCGAGACTCGTTTTTGGCAAAAGGAGTTGCTCACCTGAGATTGAGGAACAGTGATAGCATTTGTAGAATTGATTTGCCTATTGGACGGTGTACCACTAGTTTGCCCTTTGGACTTGTATATAGTTTTTGTTTCGCATGTACTTCCAGACAATTCTCTTACATACCATTACGCTACAAGAAGCCATTAAACCAAGGCAAGGCATAATTATCCTACTTTGTTGGAGAATTTGGAAGTTTATATCTACTAAGTTTATGTTTGTATATGAAATATAAAAATAATTTTTAATACTTACAGGTTTGGTTTGTTTTATAGCATATCAATCTCAACGAGTTATTTAATGCCAACAAGATTTTTATTGCTGATAATATTTTTTCAAAAATGTATTGCTGGTAATAATGTTTTGCTGGTAATAATTTTTTTCTTCAAAATTCATTGCTGGTAATGATTTTTTACAAAAATGCATTGCTGGTAATAAAACCTATTTTTACACTTTCATAGCATTTTGACCACAGTCTGGGGGTTAACTATTTGCCTATAGCTGGGACCCTAACAGGTGCTACCACCCAAGCTCAAGGTGGATTTGGAAACACCAGCAATTAAGAGGTGGTTCCATGCTCCTCAAAACCTCCTGAACAGAGGCCTTGCTGTCAAATGTAGTTTATCATCTTACCCACGACACCTCATTTGGGAGTGGGTCTTACTCCTCTGCAGAGGTGCAGTCAGCGTATTCCGAAGCCCCATCTGACAGGGCAAGCAGTTGCTGGAATTTTTGCTCCAACATTCTTATTACTATAAACAGTCTTTAGTAAAAATTATGTTGGATTAAAATATAGTAATTGCTTAAAAAACACTATAGTATTTCTTTTATTAAACATCTTTATTACGATCACAAAATTTGTTCCCATATAATCATCACAACACCCAAGTGTTCAAGATAAACTTTTTGCTTCCTCCAAGCAACATTACTTTTGCATGTAATCGTGACTTTGATGCATCAGCAGACAAAATGTAAGAGATTTATATTTCAAGCCATAACAGGTATGAGAAATGTATGACTTTTGATATCAATTCCTTTGTCCTGGATTTCCAAATGCATATCGTCTATGTACATAATGCACAAAGACAGCAGCACAGATTTCTTCAAATGGATAAAGATATACACACACGCACACACACACAAAAGATCTGAAACAGCATGAAATCCTGTAAAGGAGAAGTTGTAAAACTGCCATATCAATGCTGGCTAAGAAAAGGCTTTGTATTATGTTTATTCTGCTTTCTTTTAACAGTCATAAGTTACCTTACTATCCATAGATATTACAATGGTTTTATCAGAATATCTAGGCTCTTCAGTGAAAATTAGAATAAAGTTCAAACAATGTTGGAATAAACATACTGTAACAAATATTTAGCCATGGGCAACTTTTGTTTTAATTTTATTTACATTTTATTTGCAGAGTTCAGCAGGAAAAATGAATAGAAGGAAAATGGTTTTCAAAAAGGAACATTATCTGCTGGACTTGTATAATAGGCACAGTGACTTCAAATGATTTAAAAAACTTTTTCATATTGTAAACCACAAAATATGATTTTTTTTTTCATTATTAAATTTTCTAAAATGTAATTAATGGTCCAGTTTGTTTTGCATCTTAATAGTAAATTAATTCACCTATGTTAATGAAACCAAAACATATACATATATGATTCCTTAAAATGTAAAAAATATGATCTGAAGTGCTTAATCTATGGCAAGAAAAAAAGAGTGCGAGAAAAGGGATGATGAAAGAGAGAGTGAGAAAAGGGAGAGCGAGGAAGGGACGATGAAACGGAGAGCGAGGAAGGGACGATGAAACGGAGAGCGAGGAAGGGACGATGAAACGGAGAGCGAGGAAGGAACAATGAAAGAGAGAGCGAGGAAGGAACAATGAAAGAGGGCGAAATAGAAAAAGAAAGAGTGAGAAAGAAAATTCCTCATTATGAATCTGAAAAGTTTTCATTTTTTTCAATATTTAATTTAACAAAATTATGCAGTGGGGATATTTGTTATCTGGAGTACTTCATTTACTGTAATATGAGAAAAGTTATAGAGAAAAAAAATTATTTCTGGTTGCGATGCTGTTAAAAAAAAATACAATTTCAATTCAGTAGTAGTTAAATAAAATTTTGCATAAATATTTCTTGTCAAATATTTGTTTTGCAAAATCTTTTGAGAAAGTTGTTTATGAAATGTGGCAATGAAAAGAGAATCTATATTATTGTGTTCTCAAAAAAATAAGCTGAAAGATTAATTATTAAAAAGATATTTCATATCAATTTTTAATTAAAGTTAAGTTTTTGAAATTCTGGAATTTTTTGTTCTGTCTCCTGTGGCATTGAAAAATAATTGACTAAAATCAGATTTACTTACTATTAATAATAAATAGTAAAACAGAAGATTTGGTTCTTGCATAGAATAGAATGTGTGGAAAATTAATAACCAAAAATCAAATATTTTCTATTAAAAGTTTCATACATACATTATAAACAAATAAAGTTTACTTATTTTAGTGGTGGATATTGCCTTACAGATACTCTGAGGTCTTGTTTACGGTTTTCCTTTGTATGAGTACACTTAACTTTATGGGAAGTTAGAACAACAATGATTTAAAACAAGTCCTCATCTTTTTTGCATACCTTTTGCAAAAGTATTAGCACAGAAGTGAATGTAATGGATTCAACTGGAATTTGAACTTCGCTTTCTGATTCCTTAATCCAAGCTGCTATCCATTACTCTACCATGAAATTTGGTTTAGAAGTTTGTAAATATAAATTTAATAAAAGAGTTCAATTGTACTATAGGGACTGTTGGATTTACTCTCACAGTTAACTTGGTATGCACACAAAAGTTGGATAAAATCGATTCTTGGTGTGAAATAGTATTTTGTCTTGACAAAAAATTATGAAAATTTTAGTTGTATTTGTTAATTAAAAACAAAAAGTTATGTTTCTTCTTCCTTCCAAATGAGATAGACTTCTCAAAGAAGTAGCTAAAGTTCTATGCCATTTCATAGTTTTACCATTTTACTGGATAAGACAAAAATATTCATTTAATACTACAGGGTTAGAAAAGGTGATTATCTCCCTTTGGTCAAGATTAAGTCATGTGATCGTTACATGTACTGAAGAGATATAGCACATAAATGAATTACTTCTGGGAGGTGTATAAAAGGGGTATCCCCTTCAGTTAAGAAGTCTATCAAAAATTTAACAATTTAATAACATCTAAAAAAAGTATGATTTTTTTTTAAAACAAAAAAAAAATAATTGAACAGCACAAGTCATAAACAAATGTTAAAACAAGTACAGTTTTTTTTTAATCATTTCACCCCAAGCAAGGCATTAAAGTCATTAGTATGCAAGGAGTTACTGAGTACTGGAGAATATAAGAAAAACTACTATTGAGAATAATAAAAGAACAAAAATTTAGTAATGATTGATCTTCAAAAATTTAAATGCAAAGCTGACTATGGAAGCAAGAAGCCAGAAGAGAGCTCCACAAGCAAGAAGTGCAACAGAAGAAACTGTTAGCATAGAGCTTATATTTACATCTAGTCATTTCAACTGTAAAAAGTGAGACCCAGATGCCAATCTAGTATTGTTATTAAATTCATAGAGCTTAGATACTATAGAGGAAAACTCATCAGAACAATTACTATGAAAATATGATTTATATTTTCACTTTTTCTTTATGTTACCTTTTTTCCACAATGAACAAACTTTTCCATATTTGTGCTTGTTTTGTCAAGGCCAAAAGTATGGGGCACCCAATAAGGATCGGTCGTAACTGTTTAAGCAAGACAAGCTTGCTGACCATTACACCACTTTTAGGTGCCCAATAATGGGCAGTTTACCCTGGTAGTAGGTGTTCCCAAGTGGTCCCCCATCTAAATACTGACCTGGCTCTATGATGCTTAACTTTGGTGAATCTGTAATTAGTTATACCTACAAATATGGAACCCACAGATAGGAAGGGTAGACTATATCTTAATATTTCATAATATACTGTAAACAAAATCCAAACAATCTTGTAAGATTGGCTTTGGTCAGTTGGTTATTTTATGTCATCATGTACACAATGGCAGGTAAGAGACATTGTCTTATTTTCACAATACTGGAACACGGTTATAAAAAAAAACCAAAAAAACTTCAGATCAACTGTCTATTTGATATTCTTCTAGGTGTCATTTCCCATCAGGACATGGGTGATCATGGCTTGCCATAACTTTCCATCCTTTATAGGTCTTAGTAAAGTTAGTCTTTTTACTATCTCTCCTAACTCCAGTTTTGCCAACCAATTATACAAACTTGTTAGGTAGATTATTCACTACTTTCCTCAATTTTTCTGACCTTCAATATGTCACGTGAGTGTTTCTTCATATGCCCTACTTATTTCAATTGTATTTTTCTGATCCTAAGAGTAAGTGTCATTTTTGTTTCCATTAACCCTAAGACTTTCTTGTTAGTTACATGTTCAGTCCATGATATTCTCAGCATCTTTTTATAGAACAACATTTTTGCCACTTCAAGCCTCCTCTTCATCTGTGATGAAAGTATCCAGCATTTGCTGCTATATAGGGAGAACAATATCACATAAGAGCTCAGTACTCTTTTCTTTGTTTCTAATTAAATTTTCTTGTTTAATGCTTTGCTTAGCTTTTTGAAGGCATCTTTTTCTATTCTAATGTACTTTCAGTTTTCAGTTTCACATTTTCCATCTTCTGTTAAAACATTTCCTCAATATTTAAATTTTAGTATTTGCTTGATTTTGGTGCCCCAATTTGTATTTCACATGTTGGACTTTTCCTCTTACTGACAATCGTACATTCTATCTTCTTACAATTGATGCTTAGTCTTTTCTTCTTTCCCTTTACTACCTTCTGCAGGAGTTCTTGTAGTTTCTCTTTCCATGTCTATCAACACTGTGTCATCTTCATATGTTATATTGTGAAGATTGTGGCCACCAACAATAAATCCTGGTAAGACTTCTATTAGATATACTATCTGAGAAAGTCTTGCAGTTAGCTGAACTTGTCATGTATCTTTCATCCAGTCTTGTTAAACATAAAATTCTCACCAGAATTTATCTTGCATATTTATAATGTCTGTCTACCATTCTTCCAGGCATTGAATATTTCTGCTACATCTGGTCTAGTCCTTCTGCTCTATATTTAGAGATTCTTGATAAAATACAAAGACAAATCTGTAATATTATTAGTACAGGTCTGACATCTCATTTTCAGTCACTTTCTCACAGCCATAACATAGCTTTCCTTTATCTTTTGATGGTAATTGTCAGGAACTTTCTTCTTCAATACCTAAACTTTAGAGATTTAGGCATACTACTAAATTGGCTAAAGTTCTCATCTTACAGATGAAATGTCTAGACATTACTATCCAAACAGTTTCTTCTTTTGAACTTCTCACTTGTGGAACTCTTCCAGCTTCTTGCTTCCCAGTCAACTTTGATCTTGAAAAATTTAAATGCAGTGTCAATTATTATCTTCCATTTTCTTTTATTGCTCTCTCCCTAATCATTTTATTTTCTCATTCTCTCACACTCATTAACCTCTTGTGCCTTAAAGGCTTTATTACCTTGCTTGGTGTGAAATGAGAAAAAGAAAAAAATGTCAAATTTATTTTATGTATTGGCCCCAAAAGACTACCAAATATAACAGAATATTACAGTACACCATGCCAACATATTGTAATATAAATCTGGTATCAATTTACCAAAGATACATGAAAAGATGAGAACAGAGAGGATAATTAAGTGTATTTTATAAATGGAAATTTTAAGGATCATCTTCCATATTCAAGCTGCTTTGTAAACTGACATATTTTCTTTGTATGATTGTGTACTGTGTAAATGAAGGAGTTTGTTTAATTTTTAGTTGCAGGTTCTTGTTCAAAATGTTAGCAAAGATTTTAGAAGACACATACAAAAAAAAATTGTGTCTGCTATGAACATTCATTCCTTTTATGCTGACTGTACGGAAACAAATTTAAAAAAGATCTCTTGAGTATGTTTATTTTCCTTTTTGGTTTGGAAATGATTTATTTGGAAGTAAGGATATGAACAGATAAACATAGTCAAACTAAAGTCAGCCTCATGATGAGTTGGGAAGACCAAGTCTGTCCATTTTTCATTTTGGTTCTGAAATAATTTATGGGAAGTAAGGATATGAATGGGTAAAGATGGTTGAGCTCAAGTCAGCTTCATGTTGACCAAATCTCTACTTCATGCGTAGAGCTACTAAAAATTCCAACAATGGAAAAATTTCAGTATTCAGTGAACCAAGGAAACTAACATTCCCCAGTAGGAACACTACTACCTCATGGTTCACATCTTCAAGCCGCCAAGAAGAGAAACAAAAAAATTCTGTCCTTTTTGGAAGTGGAGTCATACAATCATACATGTGACCAGAAACCCATTCAGGTTTCTTTTTCACTTGCATCATGGGAATTTTTTTTTTTTTATTATTTATTGGTTTTATTTCATTTTCCCTAAACCATTTCTCTTAGTTCTTTTCTCATCCATTCACTCAAACTCATTTAATCAGTTACTGGTTGATTCCTCTTACTTCTCTTGCTTTAATTATGTCCTGTGAGTGTCAGATAGATTCACCTATTGTCTAATTCACACTCCTCCCAGGTTTCTGAACAGAAGTAGGGGTTTATCCCTTGTTTTCTGTTTAGAACAAAGACTTTAAATGGAACAGGAAATCCATTCTCTTTCATTCCCAGTAGCCCTTTGCATCTTAGTGGCATTATCGCCTTGCTTGGGGTGAATTGATTAGAATTATTTTTTTTTTTAATCCTTTACCTGCAAGGTGTTAATGCACTTAAGATGGATGGAGAAAATTTAAGCATTTTATTTGTAATTGTAAGTATCAATTACATTGTACTTCCTATTTTCTTTAACATTTCCTCATATGT